CACGTCCCTTGGCACGTCGCCTGACGCGTCCCTTGGGACGTTCCGCGGCGCGTCCTCCTGGCATGTTCCCCTGTCAATTAGCTCTGGGGCAGCTACTATGTGCTGAGGCAGCTCGAGCTTAAGATCCAGATCAGTTCGGTCAGGACTCGGGTGCAAAGGAGGGCTCGATCCACAACGCTATAGAGCACATTCGCGGCATAACACATCGCAGTTCAGCATCACCACGGCGCAGCACAGCACAGCCCTCGGCACGGTACATCAAAATCGATACATTCAGCATTGCATTTGCCCGTCGCCCAATCAGGTGTCTTTGAAAGGTTGCCATGCCTTACATTTCTATATTCCTTTCCGGGTTCGTGGGTCGATCTTGCAGTCCCGGAAAGGGCGCTGGCCCAGGGTTCTCTTTTAGTTGGTAAACCTGTCCCCGGTGCCTCAACTGAGGTGGGCCGGCGGATTCTTTCCCTGATAAATTTCGAGGTCGAGGTGGGCCGGCGGATTAAATTTTGAGGATGTCTCAGGCGAAACGCTTGTTTTTGAAATCCCGATCGATAAATCACCGGGTGCGGGCCGCTCTTTCGTGTGTTGAGGATGTCTCGAGCGAAACGCTTGCTCCGCAGAGTTACCGAGGATGTCTCGAGCGAATCGCTTGTTTTGTAGAACTTGAGGGATGTTTGCGCCCCAGAGATTTGCCTTCTCCAGGTGCACGAGCCCGTGTGTTTTTACGTATGTGCCTGTAGATTTGCCTTCTCCAGGTGCACGAATCCATGTGCTTTTACGTAGGTGCGTATAGATTTGATTTCTCCAGGGGCGCGAATCCGTGTGTTTTTCCGTATGTGCCTACAGATTTGCCTTATGGGGCGCGATGCACATATCGCACCGTGCGCCCACGTCACTCGGTCATGAATTGGCTAGATACTCTCTCCTTTCGCGGGGTGTCTCGTGGAATGTTTCCAGGAAGACGTTGAAAACGGTCGCCCGTGTCTCGTGGAATGTTTCGCGGGGTGTCTCGTGGAAGTGCCCGTCGCCCAATACGGTGTCGTGAAAACGTTTCCATGCATGCGGTTCTATATCCCTTTCCGGGTTCGTGGGTCCATCATGTTTGACGTTGCTCGGACTTCATTCTAAAGCAAGCACCCTCCCTCTTCCTTCTCCTCCTCCTCGTCCTCCTCCTCCGCCTCTTCCTCCTCCTCATCCTCCTCCCCCTCTTGCTCCTCCTCAACGACTTTAGGAAGCTTGCCGCCGATCTCAGCTGCAGAGCCAGCCTCCCTCGCACGATCATAATGCACAGAGTAAGACTCGTGTGCGCTCGTGCGATGTGTGTGTGTGTGTGTGTGTGCGTGTGTGTGTGTGTGTGAGTGTGCGACGTTTGGTCGGTGCGTCGCTCCTGTGCTTGCGTACACTGGCGTCGGTGGATTTCGCTCGTGTCACCCCCCGCAGTTGCGCTTCTCGGAGCGTTTCAGAACAAGTGCCAGTCTTTTCCTCTCCGGCTGGACTACAGATTATCGAAGCGTCACTCTGGTGAGTCGTTGTTGCCATTCTGCCTGAATTCAGGAGGGGAAAAACACGCAGTCACAATTAATCGTCCACTCCCAGGAAAAGATGGGAAAATATGGGAAGTGGGGGGAAGATAAAAACTCAGAAAGTATAGGAAAAGATAGGGAATCCTTTGATTTGTGTGTATTTACTCGTGTGTCCCAGGGCCCCTTCATGAAGGCCCGAATGTCTGATGGCAGACATGCCGTACTAGCGCTACCATCCCCCCCCGGGGGCTGGTCGGCCCTGGGGGGGCCGATCGAACTGCAGGCCAGGCGACTGCTGAAGCGTCCGCCCCAGGAGGGTCCGGCTTGTCGGGCAGGCAATGCGAAGTGCGAGGCCGTCGCCACGCTCGTGGGCTCCTGGGAGGTCCAGCGGAGCAGCTCGTCCTCGCAGCGTGTGCTTCTGCGTGGAGAGCTCCTGTACATAGTCGACTCGCGTGGAGAGGGGGCTGGGGTCATGCTCTGCCTTTCACTCGCAGCCTGGAGGGCTTGTGGCTCGCGCACCAGGGATCACGACGGCATGAGGTCACAACGAAACTCCTTCGATCAAAGCTTCTTACCGCCGACGTGTAGGGCGAGAGAGAGAGAGAGGATGAACACATGAACAACAATTCCTCAACAGGTAGGAGGACGAGATGGGGAAACTGAGCGGCGGCGCTGACAGTTCAACGGTGGCGGCCGCACTCCCCCAAGTGGGATGGCGTAAGGGCCTACCCCCTGCCGTCAGGAAGCCCCCGGCACCGTCCCCCAGTCCAACTGAGGGGGCCCTCACCCGCCGAGGCAGGAACTGGGGGGCCGGGTGGGTGTTTCCCCAGGCGTTGGGAGGTTTGGGTCATCTTGGCGGTGGGCACGGTGAGCTTCAGGTCTCCCCCACCCCAGTAACCAGCCCACCCCCTCCACTACGAGAGAGGTGGGAATACGCTTGCTGAGGGCTCAAGTAGCTGTGCGGCACTGCGGCAAGTTGGCACAGGTGACGCTGCAGTGCACTTGCTGTAGACCTAGCTTGCTGCCGAATACCTCCTGACGTTGCTCCTGAGGGCGGTCGCTGGTGCCATACTTGGGTGAGCTGTAGTCACTCCATGGTGGGTAAGTCGGCGGCAATGCAATGCTGGAACACAAGTTACTACGTGGATCATTATACGTCCTCCACCTTCTCCTGCTTATTCAGGTTTCAGTTCAAGCATTGTTCGGCCTGCTGGAGCTTGATCTCCTCAAGGTGGAGGTCCCAGGTGAGCGCAATACATCCCAGGGTTTGGCCGACGAGTCAGGGCCCTCAGATGGCGGCCCCTGGCGTTGCTCGGGGCTCTTCGGCGTTGCGTGGCAATGCCAAGCAAGTCAGAGCAGACCAATGCCAAGCAAACCGTGCCAAGCAATGCGTTGCATTGCATTGTGTTGCTCAGCGCCGTGTTGACGAATTGGGGTCGGGGCAAGTCAACTTGCTACTATCGTGTTCTTCTTTGTTTCTTTTTCCCCCGCTCTCCCGCCTCCCCTCCCGACCGTCCCCCGCCGCTTCCCTCCCTCGCAGCGCCCCCCGCCCGTTCCCTCCCTCCTCTGGAACCGCCGAGGCGGGACCAGATGGAATTGGAGTGATTGCGGAGTGCCCCCCTAATGCCTGTCTATGCTGTTCCCAATGTGCTGTTCCATCTGATGCTCTCCACAGGCTGCTCCACATATGTTATTCCCCATGTGCTGTTCCTCATCTGCTGCTCTCCGTCAGCGGCTCCAGGTGCTGCTCTCCATGTGCTGCTTCCCCCAGACTGCTCCCGATATGTTGTTCCGCACATGTCACTCCCCACATGCTGCTCCCCGTCGGCTGCTCTCAAAGCCCTCCACACAGGCTGCTACTCATATGCTGGTTATGCCGCCAAGTGTGGCTTGATGTGATGATTCGCTTGAAGATTGAGCAGCTCCCATGTGGCACATGACTGGCCAGTGGCCCCGTGGCCCTCCTGTGAAAACGCAGCCAGGAGAAGGTAGGCTGAGCATCGGCAATATACGCACGTCAATGAAAGCGTCATTGTGTTGCACCCTATTGCCTTGGCCACCAGTGTCGCGTAATTCACGGAGTCGGCGCCGGCTTTGGCAAGGCAGTATGCTGGTATGTGATGACGTGCGGCCGAGTATTAGCTCCTCCTCCTCCTCCTCGTCCACGCGATCCGTTCTCTCCTCCTCCTCCTCAACTTCGTCCTTCCCTCGTTTTCCCTCATCCTCCTTCTCCCGATTGTTCGTCCTTTATCCTCTTTCTCATTCTCATCCCAGTGTCCTGCGCCCGATCAATCGCTTTTGCAAAGGCATGCCCGTCCTTACACTCTCGCCTGTCCTCTTGCTACTGCTCTTGTTGCTTCTCCTGCACCTGACGCTCGTGCTCTATCCCTCTATCCTCCGGGCTGGTGCTCAATCCTGACAAGCGCGTCGTCGTGTTGTACAGCGAGTGTAATCGTGATAAGGTTCTTGCGCCACAAGGGTATCCGTGCCGCCGTCTGAAGTTCATGGGTTTCGGTGAGTACGTATGGGTGTATGTATGTATGCATATATATACACATATGTATAGGGGAGGGTGGGTGTGAACTTTCCTTCAAAGAAGTTATGCAGAAGGATCCATAGTGTGCCCAAATTAGTGAGGCTTGCACCAAGGGCTTGTTCGCCCCATCGTTACGTATAACACCAATGCTTTCCCAGTCCTTTTCTACCCTTGGCAGCTCTAGGTCGTTTCTCACCGTTTGCTACAGCAGGAACAAGACTGTCTCCAGTAACGTGCGGTCCGAGGCACGCTGTACCTCGCAAGTTGTTTTTTGTGCAACCTCGACGGAGTCGTGTTCAAAGTTGGCGCGCACAGCTCCCAGTTCACAAGCCGAGCCGCTATTTACCGTGTTGCATTTGCCTCGTATTCGTTCCGATTCGCTGAGCAGGCACTCGCAGAGGTTCTAAACGGATATGAGTACATCTTATACCAGACTCAGCCTCCAGATCGTATTTATGCGTATCACGCACAATTGCGGTTCGGTCTGGTCTATATTTAGTGCCTTGCGGGAATGTATCACATGCATCCAGAGCAATACTCATCGGGTCTGAGTGAAGTACCCCTCCCAGCTGTAGCATCGCTACCTCGTCGATTCTTCTTCCGCGTTTAATAGATTTGACCACCACCTCTGAGGACCAAGCTATGCGCCGTGTAATTACAATCAGCACGGCCACTCGGGAAATTCTTGGGTGTGTCCTTGTGAGCGGGATCAGGACTCTAAGGAACGGATGGCCCACCACCGGCCTTTTCCAATGCAGTCTTGACTCGTAGGCTTCAGGACGGGAGCAATGGCCTCAGCCGTCACGGTTCGAGCGCGCTCGGGCCGTGGCCTCCTCGCGCGCGGGCGCTGCGTGCAGCGCGCGCGCCCCTCCTCCGCCATCGCGACGGCGGCTGGCGGTGGCGCTCCTGGCTGGTGGGGGCGGCTGGTTGGCCGCTGCCCCCAGCGCCGCGCTGCGGGCGCGGCGGATCTGGCGGCGCCGGGGCCCGGCGTCGTCGTGCAGCAGCACGTGGAGGTCCACGTGCACGTCGGCAGTGGCGTGGACGCAGCGCAGGCCGGGCGCGCAGCCGCGGAGGCTGCCGTCGCGGCCGCCGCCGACGCCTCGCGCGCGGCCTTCGCGGCGCCGGGCGCGGCCTGCGCCCCCCCGGCCGAGGACATCCCTTGCGGGGCCGGCGCAGCGCCGGCCAAGGAGGCGCCCGCATCGGGCGCGGCGGCCCCGGCGGCGAAGCGCGCTGCCCGACCGGCTCCTCCGCGGGCCGCGCGGACCGAGCGCTGGGCCTACGCGGTGTGGCAGCACCCGCTGCGGCCGGAGCTGCGCGGGGTGCACTGCGGAGGCGGCGAGGCGTGGCGGGCGCTGGCGAAGACGCTGCCTGGAGGCCGCTACTCGTACGCCTCAGGCGTGCGTCTGCGGCGCTTCGCCGACGAGGCCGAGGCAGTCGCCGGCTACGAGCGCGAGGCGGCCCGGCACGGAGCCCCGTCGCCGGCGCCGCTCTTCGACGCGCTCGAGCCCCGACGCTCGGCCTGATGACGGCCGTGCTGGGCGGCGCGGAGCCCGCCAGCGCCGAGGAGTACGAGTGGGAGCTGCGCGTGGCCGAGCTGACGGACGACTACATGCCGCTGCAGGTGGACGTCACCACGGTGCATCCAGGGCTGGATGCGGGCGGCATGGGCATCTCCGTGCCGATCGCGCCCGTCCGCAAGAGGGGAGGCGTGTTGACTATCGCCATCCCGGCCGCGGTGTGCCCCTGGCTCAGCCCGCACTTCGCGGCCCTGGGCGACCCCATCCACTTCCTGCCCGCGACCGACGGCCAGATGGCGACGGTGGCCCTGGTGCGGATCAGCTCAGAGGGCGGGGCCTGGATGGAGCCAGCCTCCGACGGCAGCCAGTGGGCGGGGGACGGGCGTTGGCCGGCAGCGCGCGCGGTGGTGCAGCTGGCCGAGGCCTTGCCCGCGACCGTGGAGGACCACGAGATCAGTCCAGACAGGGACTACTCCAGTGCCCTCGCCCCGGCGCCCCACGCCCTGAGCCCGGAGGCGCTCGACACGGTGCTGGGCGGCGCGCTGGGGCTCGGCCCGTGGCGAGGGCTGCTGCGCTTGCGCTGGCCCCCTCCCGAGCCCGAGCCGGGCGACGAAGACCAGCTGGTCGGGCCCGACGGGCAGGCGCTGCCGCGCGTCGCGACCCCGCCTCCTGGCAGCGCCGCCGCGGGCGCCGCGGAAGGCCCCTGGGAGCCCTGGTGCCCGCCACCTCCTTCGCCGCCGCGGGCGGCCGCCGTCGGTGCTGGCGACGCCGCGGGCCCACAGGCCGTCCGCCTGCAGCACGCCGCCGTCGCCGCTGCACGCCGGCTGGCCCCGGCGCCCGGGCGCCCGGCCGCTGGTGGCGGCCGCGGGCGAGGCGGGCGCGGCAACGCCGGGGGCGCGATCGAGATGGGCGACTCGGCCGACGAGGAGTCGGGCGGCCTCCCCGAGGGCCGTCGTGGCCCCGCCCGCTCGCGAGCGGCAGCGGGCCAGGGTCGCACCACCGTCGCCTCGCTGGCCGCGACGTTGGAGAGGCTGGCGGAGTCCAACCAGGAGGTGCTGCGGCGCGTGTCGGTGCTGGAGAGCGCTGGCCGTGGCGAGCCCCCCCGGCCGCCGCCTTTCGAGGCGCCGCCGCCCAGTGCCGCCGCGCGCGCTGGCCCGCCGCATCCGCAGGTGCTGGGGCCGTCGGGAGGTGCCGCCGCCGAGCGCGCCGCCGTGGACTGGGCCCTGCACGCGGCGGGGGCGCCTCCGCTGGCGCGCTTCGGGCAGCCGATCGGCGTGGCTGGCGCTCCGCCAGCTGGGGCCCCGGCGTGCGGTGGAGGTGCCGCCGCCCTTGCGAGGGCCGCGGGCCCGGCAGCTGCGCCGGCGGCAGGAACGGGCTTCCCCCTCAACGCGTCGCAGGTGGTGCAGGCCAGGGCCAACTTCGCCCGCCACCACGGCGTCCCGTTTGCCGACGTCTCGGAGGGCGAGGTGCGCAGGTCGCCGGAGGGCATCGTGGCGTGGTGCCAGGCCGGCGTTGCAGCACCCGCTGGCGCGCCGGCAGGAGCAGCCGCCGCCGCGGCGCCGCCGCCCGCGGGCGCGTCGCCGGCCGAGCTGGCGGCGCACTGGGCTGCCGTGGCAGAGCTGCAGCAGATGCCTGCTGGCGCCGTGCCCGCCGCGCTGGCCGGGCTTCTGCAGCCGGGCCTCGACGATGGGTCCGCCGCTGCTGGCAAGATGCCCGGGGCCCGCGGCGCCGCCAGCATGGAGATGCTGCGGCGCGACCTGCAGGCGCGGCCGGCGGCCTGGACGGCGATCATCAGGGGGAACGCGGAGCTGGCGCTGGCGGGGACCTCGGACGACCCCGACCCGAGGGTGCGCAGCATGGTGGAGTTCGTGGTGCGCACCGGGACGATCAATCGGGGCAACAGGACGGCCGCCTACCTCGGGTTCGGCATCGCGCGAGTGGCCGACCTCATGGCACGGGGCCAACACGAGATGGCGGAGGCGCTCGTACTGCTGCTGTTGACGGCGCTGGAGCAGGCCCAGCGGGACAACGGGCGCTGGCAGCTCGCGTGGCTCCTCACGCATCTGCCAGAGCCCCCGTGGGCGCAGATGACGGCCGGCACGGGCGGGAGCGTCGACAGCCTGCGGCCGTTCGGGTACCTGGCGGACGCTACGTGGTCGACGGCGGCGATGGCCTACACGAAGGACGCCGCGTCCCTGGCGGAGATCAGGAGGAAGTTCAACGACGACCGCGGGGGCGGCAAGAGGGACGACGAGGAGCACAAGCCGCCGAAGGGCGCGCCCAAGGGCGGGCGCGGAGGCGGCGCCAAGGAGGGGGCGTAGCCGGCGAGGCCGGCTTGCTGGCGGACCTCGAGGCCGAGGTCCCGCGGGCGCAGATCGGCATGGTGCGCCGCCTCCTCAGGTCCAGGACCAGGCTGGGCTACTTTTTGTATTCGTGCATGCAGTTCTCCGGTGCCCCGTCGGACTCCCCGACGCGTGCCTGCTTGAAGTTGTTCCCGATGGCGCCGCCCTACCCGTGGACCATCGGCACCCCTCCGTACACCAGCCCGCGCTGCAGGGAGCGTTGGAAGAAGTTGCAAGTGGCCAAGCTGCAGGTCAACCTGATGGTGGTCGCGTGCTCTTTCCTGGCGCTTGGCTCGCAGCGCTGGTGCCCGGCATCGTGCAGGACGGGGATGGGCTTGTCGGAGGTGCAGCGGGAGCGGGTCCCCCACCTCCTGGCCCTTGCCAAGCAGTTGGGCCGCACGCCCTACGACATGAGCGGCCGCGGCAAGATGAAGCTACACTCGCTTCTGCAATTCGCTATGCAACTTCGCGGAGCCGCCCCCGGGCAGCAGGTGCGAGCTCCGCCCCCGCTTGCGGTGGCGCCCTTCGTGGCCAGCCGCGCGACCTTCTGCAAGCAGGAGGCCCACTTCGACCCCGTCTATCACCTGCCGGTTTTCGAGGCGGCCGCCTACCTGGACCCCGCGATGATCGAGAGGGCCCGACCGCTGGACCACGGGCTGAAGGCTATGAGGCAGACTGGCAGTATGACCGAGATCGTCGCTTTCGCGACCGACCTGGACCGCTCCCACAAGCTGTACTTGGCGAAGCCCGAGGAGGTGGACATGGACCAGGCGTGCAAGCTCATACCCGTGTATCGGGACCAGCAGCGGGACCGGATCGTCTGGGATCGCCGTATCAGGAACGCTGCCGAGCATCCCCTCCAGTCGGGTAGTCAGCGCCTGGTGTCAGCGCACGCGCTGTGCGACTACGAGCTGGACGACGGTTGCGTGCCCGTGCTGTTCGCCGAGGACGTCTCCGACTTCTACCCCTCCTTCGACGCGACGCCCGCCAAGGCGCGCACGAACATCCTGGGGCGGAAGGTGCCCACCCACTTGCTGAGGCATACGCGGGCGTTCGCGGCGCGCGGCTCCGAGCTGGGCGAGTACTGCGTGGTGTGCGTGGCGAGCCTGCTCATGGGGGACCTGAACGCGATCGACTTCGCCCAGGGCGCGCACGAGGCGGTGCTGCAGGCTGGCGGCTCGCTGGCGGACGCTGTTCGTGTGCAGCACCACAGGCCTTTCCCGCGCGGCCCGCACGCGGAGCTGCTGCAGATCGACGATCACATCGGCCTGGGGCAGCGGGTGCGTGGCTCGCGGCGCTTGCCGGCTGCGCTGGTGCAGTCCTTCGAAGGCGCCCGCGCGCAGTATGCGAAGGAGGGCCTCGTGGCGGCGGACGACAAGCGCGTGGCGGGGGCCCCGTCGGGCTTCGCGCTGGGCGCCGAGCTGCTGTCTTCAGGGCATATCGGGGCGGAAAGGCTGCGCCGGGCTGGCCTGGCGCTTCTGTCCTCTGGCATCGCAGCCCACGGCCTCGTGTCGGGAGCCCTGCTCAGGAGGACGGTGGCTAGCTGGGTGCATGTGGTGGGCTTTCGTCGTCCTGCTATGTGCTTGCTGGACGAGGTGTTTCGCTCACTGCCGGAGGTGCCGCGCGACGACGACGTCTTCGCGCTCGGCGCGGGCGCCAGGCAGGAGCTGATGTTGCTGTCCATGCTGGCACCCACTTTCGTCACCAACCTCAAGGCCCAGGTCGCGAGCAGGGTCGTGTGCAGCGACGCGTCGCATCTCTGCATGGCGTCGGTCGTGGCGGACGTGGCGCAGCCCATCGTGCGCGAGATCTGGCGGCATCGCGACCAGCGCGGGTGGTACACGCAGCTGAACAGCAGGGAGGTGGCCTACATCCGCGCGCACAAGCGCCTGGAGGACAGAGCGTGGCTGCAGGATATCGACGAGGAGCTGCGGCCTGGCGTGAAGGTGCCGCGCTGGCACCTCCTCGAGGTCTTCGATGTGCTGGAGGTGTGCAGCGGGCGCGACGCCCCTTGGTCTCGGGCGCACGCAGCGGCTGGCCTGCGGGTGGGGCCCAGGATTGACCCCAAGACGCACCCGATATGGGACTTACGCTCCATCCGCATCGTGGAGTGGATCCTGTTCCTGATCATCAACGGCCGGGTCGCCTACGTGCATTGCGCCCCGCCGTGCAGGACCTTCTCGTTGGCTCGGCAGCCCAGACTTCGCTCGCGCACCCAGCCGCTAGGCCTGGACCCCAGCGACGAGGACACGCTCCTGGGCACCGTCCTGCTTCTCAGGTGCATGCTCATCCTGTGGACGGCACGGCGCTACCGCAGGCACGGGTCCCTGGAGCACCCTGCTTGGGCCTACACATGGTACGTGCAGCAGGTGGCGGCGTTGTTCGCGAAGCCGGGCTGTGGCATGCTGGTCTTCGCGGCCTGCTCTTTCGGGGCCCCGTTTCAGAAGCCGACCAAGCTGGGCCTGGTGTACTGCGACTTCTTGATGCCGTTGGCCCGCCCCTGCGGTCACGGGCGGAAGGCCCACCGCAGCCCGCTGGTGGGAGCCGCCCGCACCGCCCCTGCGGCTGCCTACTCGGCCAAGCTGTGCGACGAGTGGGCGGAGCTGACCCGCGCGCAGCTGGCCACCGAGGCGCCTCTGGTGGGGGTGGAGCCGGCGCCGGAGG